TGTTAAAGGTTGGTAAATATCCAAGCAAAAGGTGGATAACATGCATAATCAAAACATATAATTTGTTTTTGTCTTTTTGAGACAGGGTCTCCCTGTAGCCCCAGCTGGCCTGGAACTCACTATGTAGACCAGGCTGGCCTTGAACTCACAGAGACCCGCCTGCCCCTGCCTCCCAAGTGCTGGGACTACAGGCGTGCACCACCACACCCGGCTCAAAAATACATAATTTTAACAGATGTGCAAACTAAAAGGCTCAAGTGGATCTGTTAGAAATGAAAAGCACACAGAAGGTGATGAGGAATGCTTTTGACAAGCTTTCAAATAGTCTTGACGCACATAAGGCAAGAGTCAATTAACTTGAAGATAGGCCAATAGAAATTATCTAGCAGGGAAAACCAAGTGTAACATATAGAAAAAGACATTCAAGAGCTCTGAGAAAAGCCCAAACAGCTTAAAAACATGTCTCTGTATTGACAAAAGGAGAAGAGTGATAATTGGTGACAAGAGAAAATATTTGAGAAAATGATAGAAAAACATCTTCAAAAATGGAAAGAATCGTCTTTTCAAAAGATTGTCCTGGAAGAGTGGGCTATCCATATGTTTAAAAGAAACCTTGGGCCGGGTGTGATGGTGCACGCCTGTAGTCCCAGCACTTGGGAGGCAGAGGCAGGCGGATCTCTGTGAGTTCAAGGCCAGCCTGCTCTACATAGTGAGTTCCAGGACAGCTGGGCCTATAGGGAGACCCTGCTTCAAAAAGACAAAAAAAAAAAAAAGAAAAAGAAACTTTGTTTCAAACCTTATACCTTATGCAAAATATTAATAGAAATGGATTAAAGACTTAAGTGTAAAACTTAAAAACATAAAAATTCCAGAAGAAAGCACTTTTGGAATTTTTGCACCTTGGATATGACTCCAAAAGCATAATGCATAAAAAGAAAATCTTTATAAGTTAGATTTCATCAAAATGGAAAACTTTGGCTACTCATAAAGTACTGTTAATAGAATGAAAGACAAGCCAGAGCCTAAGAGCAATATTAGCAAAATTCATTAAAAAGAAACCAAATACATCCAGTTGAAAAATTAGCAAGCCAGGTATGAAACATGCCTATAATCCCAGCACCCAAGTGTCAAACATAGGAGCATCACATGTTTGAGGACAGCCTGGGGTTACATAGTGAAGTCTTGTCTCAAAACACCAAATAAATAAATAAATAATTGTTTAAATTTTTAAATAAATAGAAATGAATGAAATATTTGAACAAAATGAAGGATGAATGAATTTATATGACCCTAAGAACACAGTCTCAAATTATTAGTATATCTGTAACAATTCATGAAAAAATACACAATTCTCTTAGGGATTGAAGAAGAAGAAAGCAAAAATCAAAACTGAGGAAAAGTGTAACAATAGAATTAACCAGCATGTATAGAATACTGAGAACGAAAAATACAAACTACTCTCAAATACAGAAAATAGTTATAAAATTTCTCCGTGTTCTTAGCCAAAAATCAAACGTTCCCACTCTCATAGACTTTAAATTAAGCAAAGCATATTGAGTCATTGGATGGAATGCAATAGATTAGACATATGGCCAAACAAAACTGTCTGTATTTATGTGGAAAATAAGAAATATGAGCCTACCTTCGCAACTGAAATACAGCATCAACCCAGATGACTTGCAGTGGGTGGATGAATAGAGAAAATGTAATATATTTATGTAAAGAAATATTACTTAGCTATAAAACTTAAAATCTAGCCATTTGCAACAGCATAGATGGAATTGGAGGTGATTAGGCCGAATGAAGAAGCCAGACACAGAACAAACGCCATATGTTCTTGCTCATTTACAGAAACCTGAAAGCCACCCTTTCAGAAGAATAGATTAACAGTCACTAAAGTCTGCTAAGGACAGCGAGAGGAAATGACAAAATGAAATGGAATCAGGAGCCATGAAAAGATAGTGGCAGGATCTTGTCCAATTCTTCTGAAGCACAGCAGAGAAACTACTAGTTAAACCACTTATGATATTCTTCAGAATGACTACAAGGATATGAAATTCTTAACATATAAAAATGATTAATGGTTGAAGAGATGGAAATATTTTACCTTGACTTATTACATGCTTTATATATACTAAATGATAGTAATGTACCACATAAAGTTCTAGAGATTTTAAAAGAAGAATGTTCTTTAATCAGTGTTCAAGAAAGAAATCATAATGGAAATTAGACAATAGTCTTTAAATAACCAGAAAAAATACTGTGCGTCAAAATGTATAGTATAGCAAGTATGGTAATCTTTACAAGGTAGTTTTAGTCTTAAAAAAAAAATAGCTGGATGTGGTGGCACACACCTTCAATCCCAACACTTGGGAGGCAGAGGCAGGTGGATCTCTGTGAGTTCAAGGCCAGACTGGTCTACATAGTGAGTTCCAGGACAGCTGGGGCTACAGGGAGACCCTGTCTCAAAAAGACCAAGAAAAAAAAAAAAAAAGAAAAGATAAAGAAGGGCTGAAAATTCATGAGCCAAGTATCCATCTCACATGGAAGAAGCTTCAATCTTCTGTTTAGGCTTCAGTTCTCTATATCAAAAAAGAGAATGGAGAAAAATCCAAAGAACCAAGAAGTACATTAAAAATTCTCATATTTAAAAAGACCAAGTTCCTAGTTTAAAACACAATGGGTGAAGGGGCAAAGGCAGCTCAGTGCTTCAGGATATCCCTGTGAATTCCCAGAAGCCTGGAAACAAAATGGAGAACACAAAGACCAGGAGACAGAAGGTGCCAGCCCTCTGAACAGCAGCTCTGAAGGAGAGAATGGAACATGACGTAACAGATCAAGAGGAAATTCACTCACAGCTTAGAGCCTGGCGTCCAAACTGTCATCCAAGTCCAAAAAGACCAAAACTGAAGATATTTTCAGAGGTGTAAATCCTTTTAAAAATTTATTTTTCATCCATCTTTTCTTATGAAGCTATTAGAGACACACCAACTAAATTAAGGAAGCAGAAATAATAAGTGTGCTGGATAGCTTTAGTGTCAACTTGACACACCTGGGTTGAGGGAGCCTCAGTTGGGGAATTGCCTCTATTGGACTGGCCTGTGGCTATGTCTGTGGGGCATTTTCTTGATGAGTGATGTGGGAGGGCCCAGCCCACTGTGGGTGGTGCTACCCCTGGGCAGGTGGGCCTGTGTTGCATAAGAAAGCAGGCTGAGCAGGGGCCAGGGGAGCAAGCCAGTAAGAAGCATTCCTCCATGGCCTGTGCTCCAGCTCCTGCCTCCAGGTTCCTGCACTGAGTTCCTACCTTAGGCTCCCTGATGAACTGTGACCTGGGAGATGTAAGCTGAATAAACCCTTTCCTCCCCAAGTTGGTAGTGGTCAGAGTGTTTTGTCACAGCAATGAAGAAATAAACTAAGACAATAAGATTCAAGAAATGGAGGCTCTAACACATGAAAGAGGTAATCCCCAAAATAACGGTGAAGGGGGCTCCCAGGGTCATGGCTGCCTATCAAGCCTAATGGAAAAAAATGTTCAAATAGAGCACATCTGGAAGCTTTGGGGAGATGCCTGCGGGCGTATTAAACTGAGGTGAGGCCTGTTGCATTTGGGCTAAGTTAATTACAGATATATAGAAAGTAAATGAACAAAAAATTACACAGCTACCAGATAAAGCAATTTTCTTGAGAAAGTAAAGATAAACATGAGTCAGCTTGAATAAGATTTTTACATAGTTAATGCAGAATGTATGTGGCGATGATGGAATAGAATGATGAAACCTTTCTAAATCTTCATCTTGTGTAGTTCGAAGTGAATAACTATCTAAAATTAAAACAGCAATGCAGGCCTGTCTTTGGTGATGGTTGAGTCTGGGATGCACTATATGGTATTGGCAATATGTGAGGAGCTAATGGAGTTTAGTACTATTTTTAAAACGATTCCTGTATAAATTTAAAGACATAAAAACTAAAATGTAATTTTAAAATATGTAAATTAGGAAACAATTACAAAGATAATTTTGGAATTAAATTCCCTTATTTTGTATGACATTTGTTTCTTTCCTTGTATAATAACAATTTCTTATGAAATTGGAGAGATCTTAACTAAAGTTTCCTTCTCAAAAATTGTGAAAATAAAGAACACACTTTGTATGTTGTGGCCCGAAACTACTATCATTGCTTTGATTGGTCCATATTTAGAAGCCAGTTTTAGCTATTTACACGTAAATAATAACATGATTAGTCACAGCTCAAGAAGCGGTTGATGTAGAAAAGGAGCGACAGGGTGGATTATATCACACACTACAGGCCAGGCACTGCACTACTTCCTTATCTGCCTTAACAGAAGCTAATTTCAATTAAGCTTTCTGTCTTTTTGTCAAGCATATAGTGTTGTACATAGAAAGCTTTCAAAAATGTTTGAACCAGTACTACTTCTCTCTGTATATGCATTTGGTACACATGCACACACGCACACACACATACATGGACAGGCACACACAGACCAAATAGGGCTATGCCAGAAATGGAAAGGTTATTTACCACTAGAGTGTATGAATCATGGCCTGTATATTTTACCATATGAGACCTTGTTGATGGAGAACTTGCCCATCTTGGGGTCGGCCAGTTTCTAGAGCTAGTAAAATAATCATGGATATAATTCTGAAAATACAAACCAACCAATCTAAAATTCAGACCACAACCACTTCCTTTACTGGATTTCCACTCCAGATGCCTGATCATCCCAGAAGCAGATATCAAGCACCCAGGGGTATCCCTGAGCCCTGGAGTCTGCTGAAGTCCTTCAGATTCCCTTACCTTGCCCATCGCTTCCTAAGGAAAACAGACTAAGGCACTTGCCTGTAGTTTCTCCCTGTTCCTCTCCTGCCTGACAGCAACAACTAATGCTAGAAATAAAACCTGATAATGTATAGAAAAATCATGTAGAAAATTCTACTTTGTTAGTACAATCTGATTGCCTAATGTACTCTTTATATTAATAGGTTTAAAACCTCAGAAAGGCTTTTGGACCCACTGGAGACTGAAAGAACTCTGCACAACCACCTTCCATGGTAGCAGGAAGATGACTGCAAAATCAGTAAAGGAGAGGATCACCGTCAGCCAAGAGCACATAGCAACTAGTAAGCAAGTTCCACAGATGCCTCGAAATGGTACCTAGAGTCAACGATATTAGCTTAATTGCTACTCATATTTTTCTAGTAAGTCAATTTTTGCGAGTCTTAAAATAACATTTGATTTGGAGATTGTTGTTGTAAGAGGCATGTCTTTGGCCTTTTGCCATTTGTTAGGGCTTTTTATTTAATATTTTATTTTTATTTTATCTGTATGAGTGTATTGCCTGTAGGTATATAACTGCACCCATGTTGTGCCATGCCCTTGGAGGTCAGAAGAGGGCATTTGATCCCCTGGAACTGGACTTGGGAATGGTTGGTAGCTGCCATGTGGGTGCTGGGGATTGAACACAGGTCTTCTGTAAGAACAGTCAGTGCTCTTAACCACTGAGCCAAATCTCCAGCCCTGTTAGGGTATTTTATGTTACTATTTAGAAACTGTTTTTGTCTTTGTGTATACTACAGATGTTCTCATGTTCACCTGTGTTGCCGATTAGATGGTCATGTATTTTTCCAATAGATAGAAGTTTAACATTTATATTTGGTACATTTGTGGCAATTTTGTCAAGACCTACCCAAGACTATAAACATACACATATACACACACACACACACACACACACACACATAAAATCTGCTGAGTCCATTTAGTAGTGCTTGTGTGAATATTATTTCCAGGTGAGAACTTAGGTTTAGACAACCTACCAGGGAGCTAGTCCCTGGAGAAAACTGATTCTCCCTCCATCAGCAACCATTGATAGCCTGTAGATCTTCGTCTAGACATGGGACCTTGGGAAATTTCCCCTGTCCACATGGACCTGTCAACTGGTACTTATAGAAAATTTTAAATATCATACTAATTTACTTGGATATATCTTTGTATATCTCCTGTTCCTTTAATTTCATGCAAAGAAATAACTATACCACAAAGAAAACTTTTAGCCACTCTATTCTATAGTGCTTTATAAGGCAAGTTTATTTCTTTCCTGTCTATATTGTCTCTAGTACCAAACACACATGTGACATGCAGTCCTCATTTCTGACCAGCTACCAGAACTGAGACTCAGTATTTTTCATAGCTCCTCAGGTGATTTCAACATGTAGACTAAGCCCGCATCACAATGTAGAAGGAAGAGGATACCTTTCCAATGCATTCATTGAGGTAGGCCAAGAATGAAGAACTAACTTACTAAAGACTTTTCTGAAATCCATTCTTTGGCTCATTTGTGATTGTAAAGCAATTTAAGGAGTTCATTGCAGCTTTCAGATGTGTACACTTGGAACTGTCAGAATTACTATTTGAGATATGATTTTCTATACTCTAATCCTTACAAATATCCTATGCATGATTTTTGTCCTTTAGTAATTATATGAAATTTCTTGCTTGCTAATGGCACCACTTATCATTTTTCTAGAACTTCACACATATTTATTTGGGGATATTTTCCCCTAGGGATTCTAAATGGAAAGAGCAGTGCTCTACTGTCCTCACTCAATTCTGCACATTTAATTTTACTTTGACCCTCACCTGTGAATAATGAGTTGACCAAATAATAGAATTCAGTAGCTCTTGGAATATTTTACTTTTCTTAAAAATTAATTCACAGAAAAATTAATAGTAAGAGAATGCTCATGTATCCTTCTTTCTGCCTTCCACCGGTTATTTGCATTCTGTCTTATTTTTCAGATAAGCATTTAAAGCTATAAATTTCCTTAAACAATGATTTAGTTGTACTCTGCAAATTTAGATTTATTGTATTTTACCATTTACTGAAAATATTTTCTATTTTCCAAACCTTTACTTTGACCTATAAATTATTTAGAATGCCATTACTTAATTTACAAATATTTGAAATTTTTCTAGATAGAATTTATAATTGCCCACTTCTAGTTTTATTGTTCAGGATTATCTTGACTATCCTGGGTTTCTGTGTCTCCATATGAAATTTGAGAATATTTTTTCAATTTTTGTGAAGAATCATGTTGGAAATTTAATGGGTATTGCATTGAATTTTGTAGATTGCTTTTGGTATGATGTCCATTTTCACAATATTAATCCTACCAATTTATGAGTAGAAAGATTCTTCCATCTTCTGGTGTCTTCAATTTCTTTCTTCTTTTTTCTTGTCTTAAAGTTTTGTTTTGTTTTGGTCTTTTTGAGACAGGGTCTCCTTGTAGCCCCAGCTGTTCTGGATTCACTGTGGAGACCAGGCTGGCCTCGAACTCACAGAGATCTGCCTGCCTCTGCCTCCCGAGTGCTGGGATTAAAGGCATGCTCCACCAGCCCCTGCCTGTCTTAAAGTTTTTTTATTGTACAAATCCTTAATTTCCTTTGTTACATTTGTTCCAAGATCTTTTATAGGTTTTGAGGTGATCATGAACGGGCTAGTTTCCCAGATTTCTTTCCCAATATGCTTGTGGTTAGTATATATGATAACTGCTGATTTTTGTGTTACTTTTGTTTCCTGATACTTTGCTGAATGTATTTGTCAGCTCTTGGAGTGCTCTGGTGGTATCTTCAGAGTCTTTTTATGTAGAGGATCATGTCATCTGCATATAAAGACACTTCGACATCTTCTTTTCCAACATGTATCCCCTTTATCTCCTTCATTTGTCTCAATGCTCTAAGTAAGATTTCAAAAACTATTGAACCGAAATGGAGAGAGTGGATATCCTTGTCTTATTCTAGGTTTGAATAGAAATTCCTTGACTTTTTCTCCATTTAGTATGATGTTGGCTGTGGGATAGTTGTATGTTGCTTTTATTATGTTGAGTTATGTCCCTTATATCCCTAGATTCTCGACGGGTTTGATCATGAATGAAGATTGTACTTTGTCAAAGACCTTTTCTGCATCTAATGAGATGATTATGTGGTTTCTATTCTTGAGTCTATTTATGTGGTGGAATATTACATTTATTGACTTATGTATGTTGACCCATTCTTACATCTCTGGGATGAAGCCAACTTGATCATGGTGGATAATCTTACTTAATGTGTTCTTACATTTGGTTTGTGATTATTTTATTGAGAATTTTTACATCTATTTTCATCAGAGAAACTGGTCTATAATTTTCTTTTATTTAGTCTTTGTCTGATTTTGGTGTTAGAGTAATACTGACTTTATAGAAAGAATTTGGGAGTATTTTTAAACAAAGATGGTCTCAAAACATACTTTATATAATCCTTTGTAATGTGTTGAAACTCATTTTCCAGTCCAATGTGTCGACTATCTTGGCAAGCAAGCCATATTCATTCACTCTGGAAGAATGTGTATCTAAAGTTATTTTATAAATCTCAGACCAATGTAGTTGGAGTGTTACTAGGATTTATTTTTAGGGCTAACAAGGATACACTCTAGCTCCTACTCATCCTGTGAGTATAAGACAGATTTACTTGGCAGTGCTCCTATTTGTTTTTCATTTTCTTTTCTTTCCTGTGGGTTTTTTTTTTTTCTCTTCATTTCCATGGCCTTTCTTCTTCTGGTTAACTGAATATTTTTAGTATTCCATTTTATTTCCTGTATTGGCTATTCACATTTACCACTTTGTATTTTTTGAAGCTGCTTTAATGATTATAAAATGTATCCTTCAGGCAAACATTGTGGCACACATCTGTAATTCCAGTACTTGGAACACTGAGGCAGGAGGATCACTACATATTTAAGGCCACTGTGATCTACACAATAAGTTTCAGGCCACCTACAAGTGCATAGCAAGACCGTGTCAGAAAAATCTACTGAAATAAATAAAAAATGAAAAAAACCTCTCAGTTAAATCATGAAAATATTACCTAAAGTTAGAATTGTCCTACTTTACTTAAAATGTCAAAACTTGCTCTTTCCTGGGTAAGTCCAGTGGCGCCTACCGCACCTTGACTTCCCCAGCCTCATTCACCCGCCCAGTTCCCACACCCAGTCTCTCCTCCTAGCCTGGGTGTTGGCTCATTTCTTGTCTTGGCACCCAGACACTGGGGCTGACCTCTGGGCCTAGAACCACCACTACTTCCTGATCTTTTGCATCCAGACCAAACCAGTTCCTCCCTATAGTCCCCAGGATCCCTTGGGACCTCTTCCTTCCCCCATGTCCCTTTGCATTCCTGGGTGGCATGGCCACCAGCTGCCCGAGACCAGCATCTTTCCTGGGCCCTGCTCCCAGGCCAATCCAGCCCTCAAATTACTGAGGACAACATCTTTCTTGGAGGGATCCAGACGTTAGGAGAAAGCCTGAGAGCATCTGATCCTCATCTGACTTGGGCCTCTGTGGGAACCCCTGAAGAGGAAAGCAATTTGGCCACTCCAATATGAAATCAAAAGAGAGAACCTGACCTAGACCAATCAGCTTTTCATGCCCAACAAGTAAACCACAAAGGCACATAAAGTTTACAAAAAAGAAGCAGAACTAAACTTGAAGGCTTGAGTCTCACACAAGAATCAGAAACTACAAAAGAAATTCACATGTCAAAGTCACAGAGAAAAAATAACATAAAAAACCAAAATATCATACCCCACCAAATACCAATAGTCCTCTAGAGGAGTACAGTGAGAACCCCCTAGAGATTACACAGGATATGGAAATCAAAAGAACAGTTATAAACATGATAAAAGAATTCAGTGAATTTAAAGAACACACAAATTACTCAGGCTGAAATGAAGAAGGATGTGAAACACTCAGTAAGCCAATTAGAAACGGCAGGAGAAAGCCTCAACAATAGGATGAACGAAATGGAAAACAGTGTATCAAGACTGGAAGATAAAGTGGATGAACTAGACCACTCAAGCAAAGGTTATGAAAGATTTAAGAAATCACAAGAATGGAATATGCAGGAATTGTGTGACACCTTAAAAAGACCAAACTCACAAATCATAGGCATACAGGAAGGGGAAGAATTCCAAGATAATGACATGGACCAGATCTTCAACAGGATTATAGAAGAAAATTTCCCAAAATTAAAGAAAGATGTGCCCATACAAATACAAGAAGCACATAGAACACCAAATAGACAGGACCCG